TTAGGTGAAAATTATGCCTCTTTTTGTATGCATTCTACAGTGTTGATATTATTCCTTCATTTAGGGTGATCTTGGTGGAAAACGCATATTGCAGAGAAGATGGACATCATTTTTAAAATCCCGCCTTTCCTGTTCCATTCCAGAATTAAACTTCCATTTCGATATTGTCCAGGACATCTTTTTACTTAGGAGAAGAAAGTGGCAGGACAGCATATTCTATGGAATTTTTTCCCAGCAATGGTGAGATAGAGAGCTACGTATGCTACTAAAGCTTGCAATGAACTGAGTAAGGGTTCTCACTTCTGTATTAATAGCTTGAGTGCAGCCTTTTGGCTTTAACTCGGAACAAGAAGCTACCAGCTACTTACGCTGCATGTTTTAATGGACCACATTTGTTCTTCTTACAGCTTGATCCAGCTGAGCAAACATTATCATCTGAAACAAAATGTTTTTGGTTCCCGGGCCAAAGCCTTCAATTAAAGACTAACCAAAAGCTTCTCCTAAGCCAAATTTTGAGAGTTATGTTTTCTCTAGTTGGATAGTGGGGCAATTAAAACTAATTACATATAAAATTACATAATTACATACACAAAGCCCTGGATTCTTCTGGTCTTTATAGCACTAAAGGAAATAGCTGACATTTCAAGGTACAGAATTATTACCCTGTTCCAAAAGAAGTATCTGTCATGGCCTGCTTGTGTAATGTAATGTTCTGTGAAAATGAAAACTGAACTCCAAACACAGACCTTACAAGTTTTAGGGTGAACTAGCTTTTTCTTAATGCCTTGGCTAATGAAGAAAAACAACACAAAGTGTATCAAAACTTTACATGTCAAAAAATACCAATGACAAAGTAGCCATGAGTAGGTAATCCTCATGTTTTAGAAAAGCATCAGAATTATCAGAATGCAGCACAGTCAACACTGTCTGCCTTAATCTGCTGCCACCTATTTACCTGTCAGTTTATACCCACTGGACCTTACATGAGTTTTATTTCTGGTTATGGCAGGTTGGGTTCAATGTGTCCTAAGATAGGAATTTGTAGCACGTTTATTCCTTTAGGTGTGGCAAAGAGACTTAGACTTGGTACTCACTGGTAGATCTGTAATCATATCAGTGCCTGATCCAGACACTCCTAAGAGTCTACCTAAATTTTCAGTCATTTTGAAAAGCGTTATAATTGGTGGCAAAGAGGGAAAGTATTGTGGTTTTCAATGAGATGAGTTAAAAAGATTAGAAGAATAACTAATGGTCTGTGTCAGAAGTGTGGAGCCAAAGGGAGGAGAATCTGGTCAAAACGTTGATTACCATAATACTTGGGTTCATCTGTCTGCTTACAAAGAAAGGTTGTGAAAAGGTCCTCATTCTCTAAGTTGTTTCAATTTACTTGACGGCGGTTACTTGATTTTTAACAAATTTAACGTGTTTAATACCATCTTGTATGAATGTCTTTGTTTTATTCTTTTCTTAGTGAATCATGAAAACTGCAACAGAGAAGTATTTTTAGTGTTAGGTCTCTTTTGACTAATCCTGAAAAGAAGAGAGCAGTGTGCACTGTGGAGATTGGGTTATTTTACAGTATTTCTTTCTATATAAAAGCCAATAAAACTTGCTTTTATTTTGTGTGTTGTTTTGTTTGTTTGTTTGTTTTCTTCTAAGGGGAAGATTAGACATATCGGCTGTTTGTGCATACAGTATGAAAAATATTCAGGAAGTCTTCTCCAAAGGAAACTACAAAGGACCTGTAACTGTAGAACATTCCCCTGTTAAGTGGATGGTATATAGGGGAGAACTGCCAGTTCCACGTCCTGGTGCTGTAAATACGAATTTACGTGTTCTAATTAAAGAACAGTCTCTGGATTACCTCTTTTTGGTAGCAAATAATTAGCTCATGTTTTACCAATATAAATGCAGTGTTTATAATCAGCGAAGAGATACCTTCTTTCTCATTCCATCACATGAAGGTTCCTAGAAAAGCTGCTTTGCTTACATTTCTGCTCCAGAAGAGATGTGGGGTTATTAGCTAGTTCATAAAGTGTGAGAAGAATAATGATTTTATCTTTTGAAGATAAGTAGAAATAATTGAATATTTAGAAACAAATACACCTTTTTTATATACCTTGGTGAGATGTAAAAGCAATTGTAATCATGTTTGTTATGTTTTGTTTCTAGTGCATCGATAATTTTGCCCGGAGTATTGGGTATAATACTTCCTCTGACTTGCCTGACAAAGTTTTGCAGTTTGTAAGAGATCACCCTCTAATGGATAATTCTGTAAATCCAATTGGTAATCAACCGGTGCTACTGAAGAGAGGTTCAAACTACACCAGGATTGTTGTAGACAGAGTAACTGGCCTAGATAAACAAACATATGATGTTTTGTTTCTAGGAACAGGTAAGTGCATTTGTTCTAGGAAAAGACACTATACTCTTATACATATTTTGTTCCAGAATTTTTTTCTGATACTTCAAAAAAATAAAAGTATTCATCAGATCTGTTTGAAGTTTTGCATTCAGAAGCTCGTCTTGCTAGTTTAATATTTTCATCCCAGTTAGATTAAATGTGTTTGGTTTGTTGGGCATTAAAAGGCTCTCTTTAGAAACTTTCCATATCAAAGGAGACTTGACATAATATTTGCAAATTCAGGGATTGTTTGAGGTCTTTTTTTCCCCTGGAAAAAATCGTTGCTTCTCTCTTATTCAAAGAAAAAGTAAGAATTGCTTTGAAGAATTAAAAAAATTCCCTGTGCCCAGGAAT